TACATGTCTGATTTTCAGTTACGATTATGCTTTTATCCGATGATCAGTCGCAAAGGAAATTTCAGTTTTACTTTGAGAAAGAAGTTTTGATAATTTTCGTTTTGTTTTATATTCGGCCCATGGGTACCCATTACAATTTCGGCCTATGGGCCGAATGGGCCGGGCCGAGCCGGGCTTGGCCCAGCCCATTGAGACCTCTGGTGTGAACAATGTCAATTTGATTGGTACATTAAATGTGCATTAAATTTTCGATCAATTCTATTGTGTTTAATTTGGTATGGAATTTTCTAGTCTAGACAAGATCCTTGATGTTTTTCAGTGATGAACTTTTAAGATCTTGAAACCTATCATTAGTCTTATACGTATTTGAGTTGATTGTCAAGCCATTGACAGTTGAATCCTATTACATTCATTTATGATATATATGATTTTTCTAGTAACTCAAAATCGAATAGTATCGGAAGAAAAATAACATGAAAAATATGAAATATATATATATATATATCAGTATTTAGCTCATCCAAAAAAAACGATATGTATTTTAGATAACTTTTCGGACTAGAATGCGTTCGCTATTTTCTTATTGAGAAAATTATTAAAAAAAGTAAATTCTAGAAAATCTCTTGTTCTAACTTTGAATTACCGACAGGGTACGTTTTATACAATATTTTATTCTGTACACTTTAAACATTTTATTTTTGAGAACTCAGCAGGTACGATTTCTGAATAGTTCGATTGAATAGCATTTATATAAAACCAAAAAAAAATCATCATGAATGTAGAAACAAACCAACATTATTTGACTATATATTTTCTTAGTGGAAATTTCTGAATATTTAGATAATAATATAAATATGAATAGACGATTTCGATGTGGTCGTTTGGCCTTAACTAGAGATGGTGTAATAAAAAAAACTCTCACTTGAAGAAGGAGGTGGTTGTCGTTTTTGCAGTTGGGATCGAATCGATATGAATTTTGATAATATTCATCGTAGTCTTGTTGATATGTTTAATTTAGGTAAAACGAAAAAGATTTGAATAATTTAATATCCTAAGATATCTTGATTAATATTAAAGGAGAAAGTCAATTAAAAACATCATTATATGATTTTCGACATCAACCGTTAGATATAAATAAATACAACACATTTTTCGAATATGTGAATAAAAATGGACTTAATTGTCACAGTACCATCGTTTATCTTTGCACTCATCATGGTATATTCAATTAGATATTCTCATTAAATATTCATATTAGTTTTCTTTTTTTCTCTCTTTCAGCTGATGCGAATGATAATCAAATGATGATATTGAAGAAAAACAAAGAAACACCTGCAATTTCACCATCATCACCATCAGTACCAAATTCATTAAATCCACAACAAAAGTGATGACAATTTTGAATAATACTTTTGTTTAAATTTCTTTCTTTTATTAGCATATCTATTTTAGCAGAAGCTACATCTTCAACAACATCTATTGAAATCAAATATGAAGACGAATCCAATCAAGAACATACTTATCAGTAAGATATTTATCTTGTTTGTATATTAAATTGAAAGAACATATTTTCTAGATCTTATTGTAATTAATTAATAACTATCTATTTATCTAGAAAACGTTCTTTGGTATTTAGTATGTTCATTTGAAAAATCGAATAACGATCTAGTCAATAATATTCGAATCTTTATTAATCAATATGGTCTTGATCAAATTTTGATAGAACTATTTGAATATATTTGTGTAATTCAGGGTTATGTTCGTTCAGTTATTCATCCATTAAACCAAAATGTACAAAATTTTATTGAAAATTTTCAATTACATAATCAATCAGAAATCAAATTGTATTCACAAAATTTAAATGAAATCTCGAATATTTGTCACTCACGAGGGAACCGTTCGAAGTGATTCAAAGCTTTTAAGCCGATATTTTGCCGATAAGTAGAGTCCAATGAGATTAGAAAAAGCCCAAAAGGACAAGGGCCCATGGGCCTTTCTTCTCGAGTTATGGTCATTTTACTGGGTTTATCACCTATGATACGATATTTACCGAAAAAT